ATTACGCTTCACGTAATAATTATCCGTAACTTCTATTCTTTCCCGCTTCACAGCATTATTTATATTTGTTAAAAAATGTGAGAATACCAAGAAAATACCACTAAGAATACCAAATGGTATTCATCAAAAAATTCGGAGTTTTTTCTGAAAATTTAAAAAATAACGATGAAGATAGGTTTGAATAATTTTAAAGAATTTTTTTCCAAAAAGAACATTTAATAACAAAAATTTTGAAAAAAAAAACGTCCCGATAAGCCAATTTTTGAAAAAGTTAAAAATGGCAATTTAAAAATAAAAAAGCGGTTTTTTTGAAAAATTCGGAACTTTTTTTTGGTTGGGTAAAAAAATTTGAAAAAATTATGAGAGACGTTTTTGATAGGGTAGAAAAGGATGGTAAACTTTCAGCCAAATCAAAAGGGGTCAGGGTCAAAAGTGGTCGATTTGGCGTGGAATGCCCCATATATGAAAAATATATCAAAAATGCATGTGGGTACTCAAATGAAAGCTCTTTATGAGTTTAACATCAAGATGAGCTTATATCTTTAAAATCATCAATAGTTAAAAAAAAGTACAGTGCAATTTAACAAAAGTCATTATTTAATCAGCAAAATTTTATTTACTTATATTTCACAAGTCACGGAAGTCACCTAGTGACTAGGTTGCTAGTTATTAAAATTTATTGATAAATATATATTCATTAAAAATATTTATACTTAAAAAACATCTTTAAATACAGGTAACATTTCGAACACGTATTTATCACTGCAACATCAACAGCCAAGGTGTCATCTGTCTTGATATACTTAAAGACAACTGGTCTCCTGCACTAACCATCTCCAAGGTTCTTCTGTCCATCTGCTCACTCCTTACAGATTGTAATCCAGGTTTGTATAACACAATAATTAATTACTACTCGTAATTAAAAAAACTTTTTAATTTAATTAAATTCAATCTATTACAATATCAATAATATTATTCTAATTATGATATAATCAACTAGACTATCTAATTAAAAATGAACTAATTTTCTAAATACAAGCATACTTATTTTTAGCGGACCCTTTGGTTGGTAGTATAGCATCACAATATCTCCAAAATCGAGAAGAACATGATCGTATAGCACGACTTTGGACGAAACGGTATGCTACATGAGCTTTTAGCTCAAAATCTCAGCTCCTAACAGCCTCATGCCAATTAACCATCCACTGCGCTGCTCTCACAAAACTTTTCTTTAATGCCTCGTGTGCGTGTGTGCGCCAAATACGTTCCTAAATATTGAGTCCACCGTGGGCTTTAGTTTTAATCCTCGATTCAAATTTAAGATTACTCCCGTAAAAAAAAAAAAAATAAAAATAAAAAAATAAAAAAATTTTTAACAATTAAACGTAATAGTTACGAACTAATAATAATTAAATCCGGTTCGATTGTGATTATTTGTATGTAAGATAATAGAGCTAATGTGTCGAAGATGAATGAATGCAAATTAGTATTTTTTTTTTTTTTTATTTTATGTAATAGTTTTATTTGTAAAGGCATGAGCTGGGAGTAAATATTTACTTTTCTATTTTACTTTTTATCAAAAAAAAAAATACCCATTTTTCGGGTGTACATTACTATTACAATGTAGTGTTTAATGAATGTTTAATCTTGGAAAGTAAATGGAAAAGATAAGTGAACTATGATCATTGATCAATCATCAATAATTTAGATATTAGGAAAACGAACTACTTTAATATTGAAAACGAAAAAAAAATATAATTATTTAAAGAATGCATTGTAAGTAATAAATTAAAAATTACTACTAATTATTTTTAGTTTTTAAAAATACTTGTATGGTACGCAAATTTTTTTTTTTTTCTTACAAACATATAAAGATAAAAATAAATATAAACAAAATTACTGATTATATATATAAATATATGAATATAAATTAATTATTAAAGCAGTTTATACTAACCATTTTTTATGCCTCTTTAAATATTTTTGTAATCCGACAATTAAATATTAATTTATTTCTATACTGTATTTGATTAATTTAAATGAATTATTGATTTATTTTACGTACTTTTTTTTTCGTTTTTAATATACAACACATTTAATAATTGTGATTGTAAATAAGTATGATTCTTTTTGTTCATTGTATATTTTACTATGTAGAAAATAAGTGTAAGAATTTTTCCAAGTAATTTGTAACGTAACAAGATTTTAAAGCGAATACGTTGAGGATTGTAATCAACTATTCTTTGAATATATAAATATTCTGAAAGCTCATACTTTTTATTTAAATATTTAAAGTCTGAAAAGTGGCCCGTTTGAGACAATAGTCAATAAGGAGTATAAAAAATGTCTTTTTAATCAAATTTTGACAAGTGTGTCATGTAAATTTAAAGCGAGCAAAATTATAGATACATATTACATTAAGTTATCAATGCATATCGCGTTACAGATGCCATAAGGGCGTAAAATAACAATTCTATTTTTTTTTTCTAAGTCCAAAAATAATTTTTAGTATGAAGAAAAATTTTTTTTTGCATTTTTGCACGTTTTAGGAAAAAATACGTCGGTTTAAAAAAAAAAATTTTTTTCAAAAATCAACATTTTTTTTTTAATTTTTCTCCAAACTAAAAATTATTATTTAAGTTCTCCATATTTAAAATATTTAAATAATTTAATCTTGGAGTTTTGGATAATAAATGAAGATATTAAATTATAAAAATTGCAACGTTTTCATTATTTTAGCTTCATCAGGCAAATTTTATAATTAGCATCCTCGTCTAATTTTTACAAAGTCAATAAATGTAATAAGCAGAATAAAACAATATCTTCATAATCTTAAGCATTTTTTTAAATTACAATATTAACAACTTGTTTAGATTTTTTTTTAAATACTATTTAAATTAATAAATTAATAAGATAAAATATAATTTAACAACATCTATCTGTCAAGCGTGTTCACAACACGGACTAAACTTTTAAATAATTTAACCTTGCAAATTTGGACAATAAATGAAGATATTAAATTATAAAAATTGCAAATCTTATTGTATTTAAGAAAAATCTAAACAAGTTAATATTGTAATTTAAAAAAATTTTTAAGATTATGAAGATGCTATTTTACTCTATTAAATCTATTGAATTAGTAAAAATTAGACGATTTGACTGATAAAGCTGAAATAAATCAGAACGTTGCAATTATTATAATTTAATATCTTCATTTATTGTCCAAATTCTGAAGATTAAATTATTTAAATATTTTAAATATGGACGAGAATTTAAATATTAATTTTTAGTTTGGAGAAAATTTTTTTCCTGAAAAAAAATTTTTTTTTTAAACCGACGTATTTTTTCTTAAAACGTGAAGAAATGCAAAAAAAATTTTTATTCATACTAAAAATTTTTTTGGACTTTGAAAAAAAAATTGAATTTTTATTATACGCCCTTATGGCATTTAGAACGCGATATTTTTTCATTGTCGGTAATTATTTCATATCATGATTAATTAAAATGATTATTTTTATCGAGTTTAAGGTGGATGAGCCCACTTTGCTTACTCTTAACGCGTAGATATTTTTGCTTTTTGAAATATTTAAAAATATCTTTTATTCAGTATTGGCAAAAAATAAAAAATTTAGCCTTAAGCGTAGCCTTGTATGATAGAATAAAAAATAATCAACGTGAACAAAATTTTATTGAAATTTTTGCAAAAGAAAAATAAAAAAATATCGATATTTTATAAATATCGTTTAGCGTGGAGTTGAGTTGCGAAGTGGTTGAATCCATATATTTTTTTGGTATCCTAACAAACAGCGATAAATAATAAATTGAGTATATATAAATATACTCATGTGTGTACACAAAAAAAATCAGATTGTAAAATTTTTCAATCTGTAATAAAAATTAAATATCCATTTAAAATGATGGAATTGAATGTTAATCAGTGCTAATTATATCGGTACCAGTATAAATAAAAATAAAATATATAAAACACTACAATTATTTATTTCTTCCTTTTTATTGGTTTTATTATTTAAGATAAAGGATATATCAAAAAAATAATTTTTTCCGCATAAATTATTTATTAATACACCATAAAAGCTAAACAATTATGTGATAAAGTTGATTATTAATTCTTATATAAATAAATATATATATATATAATATATTATATATAATTTAAAAAAATGAGTAAATCATATATGAAATTACTCAGATTTTTTTCATCCCTCAATTTTATTTTTTGATTTTTTAAAAATTCAATTTCAATTATTTGAGAATTTATAGTGATAAATCTTACATCAAAGTATTACAAGTCAGTCATAAAATACAAGTATAATAAAAAAAGACAAAAATATAATTTTGTAGAATATCCAATCGAAAAATGTTTATATACATATAGCCAATATTTACTGTAAACTTTTCGTCATATTTTTTCTAATTATTATTTTTTTTTTTTTTTTTTTTTAATACTGATTATAATAATCTTTGTTCAGTCTTTATCGCGGCCTGATAATAATTACTTCATTAGTAGACCAATTAGGTATCAAGGAGGTTGGTGACCTTTCTAAAATATACTAAGCTACCAGAAATTAACATATTAATTATATTAATCCAAAATTTAAGTGAAAAGTTTAAATCAGCTTCAATATTTTTTCCCAAAAAAATGAAGCGAAGATTTAAAAAATTCACAGAAATTTTCTATTAATTTAAATTAAATGTTTCTTCCTTATAATTTTATACTTCAAAAGAGGTCACTTGAATTTTTTTTTTAACAATACAAAATACAAAAAATAATGTTGGTCATTAAAGAAGATGAATACTTTTTTTATTGATGCTTTTGTTTAAAATTTTTTTCTGCATCATTAATGTTTTTTTTTTTTTTAAAGTTGGATTGAAAAAATTACATTTAATTTATTTGATGTATCTAAACCATCAAGTTTTAATTATAATAAATTTATATTCAGGTTTTCTTCAATAAGAGTACTTTCAAAATTTAATTCTGTAAATTGGCTTTTTTCTGAGAAGAAATAAAAAATTCTTCGCATATTAATATTTATATTTAATTAATAAAATTATTAATTATTAAAATTGATAAAAGCCAATTACATGAGATTATATTTTTAAAATATCCTAAAAGGATTACACTTATATATTAGGCACACTTTAATAATAATTAGTGATTGCTAATTAAAAATTAAATTTAATTTTTTATTCCTTTTACTGTTCCTATTTAAAGTGTAACGTGCGAGCGAAGGAGGAAGGACACAATAACACCAAAAGGAATTAAAATACTTAATTATTTACCATACTATTCAATAAACTTATATAAATAATTATCTCAATTAATTAAGAGATTAAATCTATGAATTCTATATTCTTCTCTATACTAGTTTTTAATTATCAAACAAGTATGTAACTAAAATATTATTTCTTCCCAGGATAAACAATCGAATTATAATCAATAATAATAATAATTATTAAAAGATCTCTGGACGGAAATAAATGACTATTTTTTTACAGTGATGTAATATCAAACAGTGTTTGTATGAAGCGGCGATCAATACCGCAGTCCAAATAAAAGTTGTTATTATTTTAATCAAAAGTCTATCCTGGGCTTGTGATGCAGTGATAATGTTGTCTTCTTTGTTCATTAATATACAAAAGCGTTGCAAGCCAGTTTATGAGGCATTAGATTATTAAAAGCTGCTTTACAATTTTTTTTTTTTTTAGTTATTAATTAATAGCAAAGTATTATTTTTTATTTATTTCTTCACACTGAATAATTTTGGCTTTAACTGGCAGTTAAAAAAGCTGTTAATTTTTTAGCAGATAAAACGTTTAAACTGCTTTTATATTAAAACTTTAAATCTGATAAAATTTTATCAGAGCTTTACAAGCCGAGTATTTTAATTAATTTTCTGATGAAGATTATCGCATGATTTAATAATTTATGCATCATTATTTTCAACAAGCATATTGAGGTGATTGTTAATTTTTATTTTTATTATTTATTAATAATGTATGATGAATAAAATAATATTTAATATGAAATGTTATGCCTCTTAATTGGTAGCTCATCAGTGTGCCGTGGTTTCACTGTAATTGAAATATTGTATCATTTTTCATAAATAATTAAATTTTTTATTGTTATTTGCATAATTAGTTTTCAAATTGTTATTTATACTCTGAGTGAAGTAATCTTAGTTTTTAGAGGCCTTGCATGGTGCAAAAAAATGCAGTTACGTTCAAACAAGCGCCGGATAGAGCATACAGTAGGCAAGAAAAAACAATAATTAATTACTTTTTGGTAATCGGAAAAAATAGACCCGGAAAAAAATTTTTAAGTTATAAAAAATTCATATCATTTTATTAAAATTTTTTTAATTTTTTTATTTTGTTTAATTTATTAAATTATAACTTAAAAATATTTTTAAAAAATTGCACTTATAGTTTTTAACAAATAAAAAATTTTTTTTTTAATAATTCTTTAATAAAAAAAATCATAAAAATTTTTAAATGTCAGCTAAATTTATTTCATTGTCACTTGACCATTTTTTAATTTTATTTAACAAAAAAATTTTTTCCGAAAAATTACTTTTAAAAAATTGCATTTTTAATTTATCAAAATTTATAAAAGTCAATTTTTTTTCTCATTTTTCTAATGCAGTAATTTATTAGAAAAATTATTAAATAACTGCTAAATTAATTTTCATGTCACTTGACCATTTTTTAATTTTATTTAATAAAAAAATTATTTAAAAAAAATTGCATTTTTAATTTATCAAAATTTATAAGTTAATTTTTTTTATGCAGTAATTTATTAAAAAAATTATTAAACTGCTAAATTAATTTTAATGAATCGCTCAATTTTTTGTTCAAAAAAAAAAAAAATTCCGGGTTTATTTTTTCCATTGAAATTTTTTTAATGATTAAATAAATACACCCTTTGTCCCAAGTTGGTAATTTTTCACTTTGCATTGATCGATCCTCTTCGTCGCACATAAGTGACTTTTCTGTACGTACTTTCGGAAAATAAAGAAGAAAAAAAAGTAATAAAATAGTAAATAATTAATTTGTTAGTTTTAATTTTAAATTCGGTTTCTAACCCGAAACATTTTAAATATTTCAGTATATTTTAACTCTACATAGAATTAACAATGCAGAAAACAATAGAATTATTTATATACATACATACATATAATACCTATTTATATATCTATGTATATAGACGACTCTTTTAACGATATAATTAATATTTTATTATAATTATTAATACTTTTTTTTTTATCTAAAATTTTATATTTTATGAAATATTTTTTTTGTAATTGACGATTAATTTTAAGAGAAACTAAATTTTAAATACAGAAAGACTTATTATTAAATTTGTCCCAAATTTTTGCACAAAAATATCGATGATCCTTGGCAATTGTTGCACATTTTGAAGAATAAATATTAAAATTGTTACTTTTTTTTTTTTAATAATATTTTTTATAATTACACAGACACGCTTTATTATTTTCGATCTCAGCGCCTTTCAATTTTGTGTTCTGAAGCATATTTAAATATACCGAAAATTAGAATAAGTATAAGTGATGTGAGTTACAAAAACATTTAGTAACATATGGACGAAAAGTTTTATACAAGTCAATAAGAAAAAAAACCCTGACACCATTGTCGCAGAATAAAGACAGGTATGTACATGCTTACGATCGAATTTATAAGCGAAAGCTTTTATGATAAACGTCCTTTTTTTATCGATAAGTGAAAAAATAAAAATAAAAGTGAACAAAGGCTCATCAAGACATTTTAAAAACAAGCTTTTGTAATCATTTTTTTTTAATTAAAAAAAAAAATTATTTTTAAATTATTGTATCAAATTTTTTTTTCATGATAATTAGAATTTAAAAATTGAATGATTTAACAAGAATATTAAATGGAAATTTTTTCTTCGTACAAAAATATAAAACTGATTAAAGAAATGATTTGATGAAACAAAGCGAAGTTTTTTAATAAAATGCATCCTTTAAGGATTGTGCATTCACAATGATATTATAATGTTAACAATATCAATGAAAAACAATGAATAAATAAAAATGAGTGTTTGAATTTAGCTTGTGCAAAAGAACAAATATTCGGTACAAAAGTGCACACTTAGGCGAATTCAAATTATTTTTTTTTTCTTTTGCAATTTAAGTTATAGATACGGTTTTATTTCAGCTTACACAGTCTCATATTCACGACGAATCGATCGAGCTAGACAGCAAGCGAATATAACTCCAATTAACTGAAAATAAAATTTTTATGTGGTTAATTTTCTTTATACTGCCAATAAAGTATGATTAAATAAAATTATATTTTATTTAATGACATCTAACAATTTTCTATATTCTTATAACAATTTAGCGAAAAAATTTCACATGGAGAAATTAAAAAAAAAATTATAAGTGTTAATTTTTAAAAATATTCTTTTTATAATAATTGATTTGTTATAAAAATTAAAATAATTGTCAGACGTCTCCTAATTTCTGTGTCATTATTTTTTTTTTTTATTACCTGAACAAGAGCTATACCAATACCAACGCCTCCAAGAATAACTGCTTTGTCTTCAATAGCGCTTTTTAATTTATTCATACATCCCTCAGTACTAACAGTTATTGAGTTTGAATCACACTTTTGGTTGTATGCAACTTCATGACAGCACGAGTTTGGTAATTCAGTGTTGGGGTATAAATTAGCCCAGTCTCCAGATCCTCCAATACCACAGCATTTGAACTAAATAATTATAATAAATTATTATTGATTACAACGAATTTCGATCTAAATGTTACATGTTTTTTTTAGATAAATATAAGGTATGACCCAGTTATTGACACTTGCAATTTTTATTTTAATTAAAAAAAAAAAAAAACAAATTAACTCTAATAAATTAATAAATATAATTTTTGAATTATAAATTTTATAATTGATTTTTTTGCAATATTTAATTTTTTTACCTTAATTGCTGAATATTTATATTTTATTATTTTTTCTTTTTTATTTTTGCTTTATCAGCTACAATCATTTGTACTAAGCAAATTATAATTCATATCGACTTTGCTTTGAGGCAACGTTACTTATTGTTATTATTATTATTATTATTATTATATTTATCTCTTTTGTATTTATTTTGTAAGGCCCTTAGGGAGTTAAGGCTTCAGGGTCTAAAATTATGATAAATAAATAAATTTTTTTAATTAAAAAAATTCAATTCTATAAATAAAAATTTTAAATTATTCTTCAACACTTTAATTTATCACGTAAAAAAAAAAAAGGTAAAAATAAACACCTAAGCTATGTTGAAAGAGCCATAAATAGATATTCTAGATAAAGGGACGTTGTTATTTATAAAAATAATAAAAAGGGAATTTTATATCATATTAAAATAATTAATATATTTATAAATTATAGAGTGATGTATTTATAGAATATCACTGTGGCAGTTTAATTAAATTATGATATTGGTAACTTGAATGAGCACCAGCTCGAGCAGATTGATTATTGCGGTCGATGACTTCGAGACTAGAATGATAGATCACGTATACAAAGAAAAGGAAGCCACGGACGATGGATAAAGGCTTGGAATAAAAATTATTCTTCATTGGTCTAGAAATGTCAAGCTTACGTTGCGTTGAAAGGAAAAAATTAGGGGAAATGTTATGTAAAATTTTTTAAGGGTGAAGCATAGCACATGGTCATGTAATCGTGAGCGACACGCGACTTCCCTATTATCTACATCCACATAATTCTGAGTCTAGACAATCCAGGTTTTTTTTATTGGGTATTTTTTTAGCGGCGTGTAACAATATACTGCGTCGCAAAAAAAAAAAATATGAATTGAAGAATATTTTGAGAATAATTGCAATGCTTGCAATTATATCTTAGAGTTTTAAAATTTATATTTTTATCTGTTCTCTTCACCATAATGTAACGAAATATTTTAATCACTTGATTAAATTTATTTGATGAATTTAATATTGTATAATTTATATCTTTATGTGTATTGAATATTCATATTTTATTTATTTTTTGTTTTTATTTTATGAGCTACTAAACAAATTGTAATTTATATCGACTTTGCTTTGAGACAAAGTTACTTATTATTATTATTATTATTATTATTATTATTATTATTATTATTTATATAACTGTTTTATTTGTTATTAATGATATTATTATATTTATCTCTTTTATATTTATTTTGTAATGCTCTTAGGGAGCTAAGGCTTCAGGGCCTAAAATTTTGATAAATAAATATATAAATAAAAATAAGAGTCTCAGCTTTGGAGATTGGAGATCTATCTATTTGTTGAGGAAGGTTCTTGATATCTATGCACGCGAGGATGCCATTGACCATATAATATTACGTAACTAAAATATCAAACATAAAGAGGGGAAAGACAGGAAATATACTGAGGAGTGTCACTATACCATACCGTATATGTAAGGCCGCGATTATAAGGGCGGAATATTGATTTATGATATAAGCAAGGTCTACTTTTACGTGGCTAGTTTATAATGCTAGCACATTGACGCCTGAACAAATGCCAGCCTTACATGTCTATCATTTATTGCGAAATTAATTTTTATTGCTTACATCGTGCTGCATAACATCCCAAGACTTCTGGATCTTTGAATCCGACTTGTACAGGGGCATGGTGTTGTTTAGACGAGCGTGCAACATTTTTCCAACTTCATTGCGCATCATGTAGCCGCAGATACCTGCGCCGAGCTCCAGAGCGAACAGCAGAAGCAACATCACTGAGAACTATATAATAAAAATGAAAAAATTTGATCAATCAATCAACTTTCAAACTTTAAAACTCAGATTTTAAGGGGACCCTTTATATTTACTTTTGACTACGCGCCATTTTGTCAAATATTTTTTTTTATTCTAGTTTCTGCGATAATTATACTTAATTACTTAAAAATCCGTCTTTTTTTTATTCAAGATTAAAGGAAGAGATAAATCATCACCAGTCAGGTTTATTTTTTTTTGGAGAACTTCAGCGTAATTTTTGTAATTAAAAAAAATTTTTTTGTCTTTATTTTAATTTTTGTGTAGCTGATATAATAAGTAATAGAATAAGTGTAAAAAATAAAACCAAGAGGTATATAACCAATAAAATCAAAATTTTTATTTAAATAGAGGATTTTTTTTTTGAGAGAAAATCATTAAATTTAAAAATTAATAAGACTTGAAAATTTCAATAGTACAAAACTCTGAATTCACAAAAAAAAAAAAAATTTGAAAGCATTAGTCATAGAAATAAATTGAAAATAAAGTTAGCCGACATTTCAAAATTTTTAGAAATTTTTTATTGAAAAAATTTCAATTAAAACAAAAATTTCACATGTAAAAAACTTGAAAAACTATAAGTGCAATTTTTTTTATAAATATCTTTTTTAGATTGTAATTTTAATTAATAAAAAAAATCAAAAATTTTTAGACGTCTGTTAACTATAATAAAATTTTTAATTTTTTGATTTTTTTTTAAATCATTAAATTACAACAAAAATATTTTTTAAAAATTGCACTTACAGTTTTTGAAGTTATTTACAAGTGAAATTTTTTTTTTATTTTTTTGTAATAATTTTTTCAATAAAAAAAAATTCTAAAAATTTATAAATGTCGATTAACTTAATTTTCATTTCTAATTTCAGTGTCATAGAGATAAAATTTTTTAAAAGAGCTTAAATTTTAGGCCGCTAGACCGGATCCCCTTAATAGTAATAGTTTTCTTTGTTCTTACGGTAATTATCATGCAATGATGTTCTTTTACTGCTCCACAGCATCCGAAAAAGGATACTAGGAAGACTGTAATCCCAATGGCAATCATCAAAACAGGTGCAGCGAAGAACCAATTATCCATAAAATTACTGTAGTCATTATACATAGCCAGAATGACCGCTCCAACGGCAATAAACACGATTCCGGTTATCTGAAATAAAATAATAAAAAATATTTTCATTTATTGTAATATTATATTAATAACATGTGTCTTATTATTCAATTTACAGACAATTATTCTTTATGCTTCATAATAGCTGATTCGTTCATTCAGCAGTATTAATCATCTAATTTATCCTCTTACGTATTTGTCTAACAAATAAAAAAAAGTACATCCTACGCTTGTTGGGCGTCCACCTTTTCTCTCTTACTTTTTTTTTTCTCCGTAACAACTCCGTTACAAAGAGAATTGACCATCGCTTCTACTTCTAGATTCTGAGAAAACGCTTAAAAAGATATTGCAGATCTGAAAATATTTTTTTTTCTTCTTTCTTTTTTTCTGACACATTTTTCCGCTGTGTCACGCTTTTTGGTCCATCCATTGAAAGTTTCAATACTTATACTTATATTAATTGAAAAGACGGAAAATAGGTACGGAGAAAAAACCCATGGACATAAATAACACGTTCGGGTTCACAATCGCAGCGGGACTTGCCAGTGTGAGGATAAAAATATATATGTGTGTGTGTGTATGCATTATCGAGCGGCCTCAAAGAAGCTTCCAGTTCATAAGTTTAACGCACAACAATGATAGGTAGACAGGAAAATTAAAATATGCCATAAAAAATGTTAAATTAATTAAATATTAAAATATTTCATATTTTTTTTTAACAAAAAAATTGTTTCAAAAATTAATTTATAAAAATTGAATTTTTAATTTTTTTTGATATTTTTTTTTTGTTAAAAATATTTTTAAAAATATGCCATAAAAAATGTTAAATTAATTAAATATTAAAATATTTGATATTTTTTTTAACAAAAAAAAATTGTTTCAAAAATTGAATTTTTAATTTTTGTCAATTTTTTTTGACATTTTTTTTTTGTTAAAAATATTTTTTAAATTAATTTTTAATTTAATAATTACTTACTGCAAATATAAGATTGAAAAGGAATAAAAGGTATTTGACACAAGCCATTCCTCCGGACACCATCTTGACTGCTTAAATATCCTTAGATTATTAACGTTGAAACACTAGATAATTATTACACACACCCACTGTTTTTTTTTTTTTTTTTTTCTTTGTACTTGCCTAGTCGTTTTTTGTTATTCGACTATCTATTTCACTTACTCTCCTCGAGTTTTTTAGCACACGGTTTAACTACGTACGTACGTTTCGGTATCCCGGTTTGAAATGCGCCGGATATTTTTGTTGTTGTAGCTATTGTTGAACTGCGCGCGCGCACCTTTCGCAAAACGCAAAAGACTGACGCCGTGGTGACTGGAACTTAAATAAAAAGGGAGAGAAAGAAAAAAAACTGGTGGATTTGGTGAAATATTATAATGAGACGGAAATTATTATGATGATTATTAAATTGAAAAAAATATTAAATATGTCAATTATATACATTCATATATTTGACATCTGTTTTTGAGGAATGAATTATTCACATTGAGAAAACAAAAGAAAGATATTTTTCATTTTTTCTTTCCTTTCTATTATACTCGAGTTATTATTATGATATATATGTAAGTTAGTAGTCACTTAACAATTTTTTTATTTTATTTATCAAAAAAATTATTTTTAAACAATTGCATTTTTTAATTTCTGTGTCAATTTTTTTTTTGCCATAATGACATTTAAGTTAGCTGTCACTTGATCAGTTTTTAATTTTATTTAACAATTAAATTAATTCTAAAAAATTATTTAAAAAAAATTACATTTTTAGTTTTTTTAAATTTCTACATGTTAATTTTTTTTCTATTTTTTTTTTGCCGTAATTTATTTGCTAACAAAAATTCTAAAAATTATTAAACATCTGCTAAATTAATTTTCATTTTGCGATAATTTATTTGTTATAAAATTTTTTAAATTATTAAATATATGCTAAATTAATTTTCATTTTATAATTCATTTTTTCGCTTCAGGTAGAGAAGACAATTAAATTAACATCAATAAAATTTTAGTGGTAAGTAAAACTGCTGTCGACGGAGATTCGATTCAATGTATCGTGACAAGTGACTATTACATTTCCAATTTAAAGTTACAAAATTGTAATTGAAGCTTGAAAGGAATCGGCGGTGAAAAAAAGAAGAAATTCAAATTGATAGCAATAATAATGATTAAAATTAAATTAGCTGATATCTGAAAATTTTTATTAATTTTTTTATTGAAAAAATTGTTAAAAAATTTCACATCAAGATTTCAAAAATTACACGTGCAATTTTTTTTAGTATTTTTTTACTTGCAATTTAATTGCAGAAAAAAATTAAAAAATTGCACAATATTAAACTTAGCTGTCATTTGACCATTTTTAATTTTATTTAACAAAAATAGCAAATTTCTACTGAAAATTCACTTTAAAAAAATTGCATTTTTGATTTATTAAAATTTTTTTTTCTCATTTTTTTATGCAGTAATTTATTTATTAGAAAAATAATGAAAATTTTCAAATATTTGCTAAATTAATTTTCATAAAAATTGTTGAACTAATTTTAGTATCATATAATGAATGATATTGAAAAAAATGACTCGATAATTTTTTTTGTTTAATTTAAAAAATTGAAATTGAAGAAAAATTTAAAATATCTATAAAAAAAACTTTAGGTTCATACTTTGCAATAAAATGAATTCCCAAATTTCTGAGGGTATACGTGTTACTACAACAATACAATCAGTTATTGATTTGTGTGGTTTCGGTTGATTTATTTCAACGATTTCTAGCAAGAGAAAACCACTATGATGAAACTATATTCAGTAATAATAGAAATTAATAATGTTTAAGTACAGAAATAAAATTTGTCAATATAGACTTGAAAATGTCAGATTGCACGTAAATACTATTGAGTATTTGTACATGTGGTTTAATAGAATACAATATTTTCTGTTTATGACTGAGTAATTGAAAAGAAGAAAAAAGAACTGATAATTTATTTTTTAAAAAATTTATTTATTTAGGATTAAATTTATTTATTTATTTATTAAATTTTTATTGTTTTAATTAAAATTTTTAATCTCAATTAAAAAGTATAAAGCAAATTCGAGGGTAAAAAAATTGAGATAACGTTCAAAATATTTTTGTTTAATTAAATTGTAGCCTAAAGATAATTCATTGACCTTTAAGTTCACTCATACAAGATTTTATATATCTTTAATTACACTAAAAAAAGCCGCTAATTATTCCATTGTTAAATGTATACAAAAACAGTCTTAAAAGATTACACAAAAAATTAATTCAGCGCTGCATGAATACAATAAAGCAAAAAAAATCCATTTCTTTCATGAAAAGAAATAATACATGACGCGAAGCAAGTAGTTAAAGTTATAGTTATATTAAACTAGGTATTCAGCTTATTCGAGGGCCTTCGACTATATAAAGACAGCCTAGGATATAGTCGACTGATCGATTGTAATAAAAACTAGTACAATCGTGCTATCGCAGCTCTTACTTGTTCACTAAAAATTTTCACAATTTACTCTTACGTCTCTAGCACACTAAATTATTTAAAGGCTTGTTTAGTTCAGGGACATCTATCACTTTGTTTTTTATAGCTCAGGATATTTTCCAGTAAAAAAAAATTACCAGACAATTAAATCTAAATTAATATAGTGTAAATTATATTCTTGTACTTTGTTTTAATATTTATTACTTAAAAATGCAAGTAAAAAAAAATCTAATCTCTGGAGAAAGTCATTACGCAAAAACGGAACAAGTTACTTGTCTTTACTTATATAAACACTGTATCGGATAAAATATTTAAGTATTTATTTATTCAAATTGATCTCATTGTCATTCAAATTTAATTTGTACTCTACAAATTCGCTGTAATGTAAAATTATAATTAGTAATTACTAATTAGTTAGATATAACATCAGAAAAAGTGCAAATTATTTAAAAAAAAAAAAGAAATACTCCTAAAAATAACAATTAAATTTTTTTTAATATTTAATATTTAAAAAATAAATAAAATACTTAAAAAAAGAAGGAATACTTCTAAAAGTAACAATTGTAATTTTTTTAATATTAAATATTTTTAAAATAACTAAAATATTTTATAAAAAAGAAGAAATATTTCTAAAAGTAACAATTATAATTTTTCTAATTTTTAATACTTAAAAAATAAATAAAATATTTTATAAAAAAGAAGAAATACTTCTAAAAGTAAAAATTGTAATTTTTTTAATATTAAATATTTAAAAAATAAATAAAATACTTTACAAAAAAGAAGAAATATTCCTAAAAGTAATAATTACAATTAAAAAAAATTTTTAATACTTAAAAAATAAATAAAATACTCTATAAAAAAGAAGAAATATTTCTAAAATTTTATTTAATATTTAATACTTAAAAAATAAATAAAATACTTAATAAAAAAGAAGAAATGCTCCCAAAAGTAGCAATTAAAATTTTTTAAATATTAAGTATTTAAAAATGAAATAAAATTGACATTTAAATTGAGTAAAAGCATGCGCACAACAACAAAACAGTATTACAATTCATTATAACGTAGCACATGGCATGTGACCTCACTTCTCTTGTATTTCTTCTCTCTCCCTAATGCACACGCTTCAGGTTTTAGGAAACTCGAACATTCCTGATAATAAAGATTAACGACGCAACGAGCAATCGTTGAAGTAATCCACAAGCCAACGTTACACGTTAGCAAGAAGTTAGACGGGTCAGTTGTCCGGTAAAAGTAGCTTATCAGAATTAAATGCCTTAGTGCTGTCAACAAAGTATAAATTTTTAATTTCAATTTATTTATATTTTTTAAAAACAAGTTTTATTCAAACAATTACTTACTATATTATTATTTCAGTTGTGGTTAATTCAGTTAAAAACATTAATATTGGTTTATTCAACTAATCGTCAAGATGGTAACAGATCTAAAACTTCCTCTTGGGTCACGATGCATCAAATACCTGTTGTTTATATTCAATTTTCTTTTTGTTGTAAGTTTTTATCAAAATTTTTATTAAAATTAATCCAATTAACTCTTTTCAAATTAGTGCCATACTTTAAGAAAATTTTAGTGTTAAAAAGAAGGTTTTAAAGAAGAAAATTAAATTTTTTATCGAATAATTTATTATTTAAAATGATTAATATCTTTTAATGTTTTTTATTATAAATTTAATATTGATTTATTGATTTTTATTAACTACGGCGAACAAATATGGCGCAATATTGGAACACCTGAGTATAGAACTAGATAATAAGTAATTTTTTTTTATTTTATTGTGAAGCTATATAAATTATAGGCGTTTGATTTTAAATTGGAATTTAGAAATTAGAAAGGATGAATAAATTTATTTTATTTATTTTATGTGGTTATATATTTATATAAAATAAATAATAATAATATGATTTCAGTTGACAATCTTATCAGTCTGTTTATTAATAAAAATATTGCGTTTAATTTGTATCAAAAGAAAAACATTTAAAATTATATAGTTTTTTTTTTTTTAATATTATTGTAGGTTTAAAAAAAATTATCTAAAAAAAATCTATTTTTATTCTTAATATTGATTTTTAAACTTTTTTATATTTTTAAATAGCTAGATTAATTTTTTATTAATTAATTTTGAATAATATTATTTATTGAATAGAAATTTATTTAATTAATTTAATGAAAAAAAAAAAATAAAGAACTTCGCTGCGGACAGGATTCGAACCTGTGCGGGTAGAACCCAATGGATTTCAAGTCCATCTCCTTAACCGCTCGGACACCGCAGCTCGATTTAAAACAAATTTATTAATTCTACATAGTCAGAATATTTAAAATTATTCTTAGTTTTTTTAAATATAAATTTTTTAAATGTTTTATTTGTTAAAAAATTTATAATATAAGACAATAAAGAAATTAATTTTTTTTTTCTAAACAAATGATTGTTAAAAAATACAAATTTTTTTATTAATTACTTAAATTCACTTTATAAGAGAAATTTATTGAATTTATATAGCCAGAACATTTAATATTATTATTATTTTTTTAAAAAATAAATTTTTTAAGTGTTTTATATTATAATAAAAATGTATAATATAAAATATTTAAGTGTTTTATTGTTAAAAAATTTATAATATAAGATATTTAAGTGTTTTATTGTTAAAAAATTTATAATATAAGACACTAAAGAAATTTATTTATTTTTTTAAACAAATAATTGTTAAAAAATAAAAATTTTTTTATTAATTACTCAAATTCACTTTTTGAGCAATTAAAACTTAAGAAATAATTTTTTTAATTAATTTATTCGGGTTTATAATATAAAAAATAATTGTTAAACAATTTAGAAATTGTTGCGACCTTCAGAAGTTCATAGCCGATAAATTATTTCTTTTTATCATAGAAACCTTGAGATTGATCTTTTATTTTTAATTTGATCGAGTAATGAGCTTTGTACGGTGAATATCGCCGAGTTATCAGCTGTCAAAAAAGAAATATATATCTTTTGAGTTCGATGATTGATTATGGAAGCGACTCACCTAGATATCCGACAAATGGGAGTTGAAAACTAGATCTATGTCTTATATCTTCATTTAGAATGCCTTTAGGATATTTTATATTAAAATAGTAAATTAATTAAACAAAAATTGGGGAAAATTATTGAAATTGAGTTGAATTAAAATAAATTTTTATTTTTTAGAAAAATAGAAGAAATATAAAATTAAAAAAACAATTTTTTTAACTTTTTAAAATGTTTTAATTTTGTTAAAATTTAATTATGACTTTAAAATATTTTTAAGTTCGGGAAAATATTTTTAAAAGTACAAACATTTAAAAAAGTTCTTATATTAATACAATTATTTGATATTTTTTACAAATTTTATACTTATAAATCTAGTTTTTGCTGAACTTTATAATTAATAAAATTTTCCTTTAAAATAGAAAAAAAAAATTCATTAAAACTTGATAAATAAAGAAAAAATAACATTCAATTATTATCTTTACTCATCGAAGAAATAAACGTAGCAATAAGTGTGACTAAGCGTCAATAATTACAAAAATAGATTTTGATTTTTTTAGTCAATACAATGAAAAGTATATCCAATAATAAATGATTATCGTTTTTGTTTTTCTAGATAAGTGGAATAATTCTTTTATCAGTAGGAGCGACAATCCGTACTGTTTACAGTAATTACAATCACTTCTTGGATGATAAATTTTTCTCTGTACCATCGCTTTTAATCGTCATAGGAAGTATCATTTTCTTCATTGCATTTTTCGGGTGCTGTGGAGCTGTAAGAGAGAATTATTGTATGATTGTTACGGTAATTATTAATCAATATTGAACATCGACGTTCTAATTAGCAAATTTTTTAACTCCATTTTAGAGAATCTTCCATTTGTATGAAAAAACAATTAGTTTAAAATTTATTATCATTTTAAAAAACATTTTATATCTAATATATAGAGGTATAATATTTTGGTTTGGGTCATTCAAATAATTTATAATTAGACTATTGGTACATCAAAATGTTAAAAAATCATCCTCTAAAAAATAAAGAGTGAGACCAATTGCTAATTAGACTGTTGACATTAATAATTATGCTTAATATTAACAATATAATTAATGTAAATTCTGTAGTTTTGCGCGTTGATGGTACTTGTCTTCATTCTGGAGCTGTCTGGTGGAATTTCCGGCTATGTTCTCCGAAATAACGCAGCTCAGATGATTGAAGCCAAAATGAAAGATAATATGGAAAAATATAAAAATAATGAGACTGAAATCAAAATGATTTGGGATGACATGCAGACGAACGTATGTATTAAAAATTAATGATACTAATTTATCTCCAAAAATTTGATAATTAATTTGAACAGTTTGAGTGCTGTGGCGCTAAAGGACCAGATGACTGGTTAGAACATAATGGATCCTTGCCAATAAGTTGCTGTCCAATTCCTCCTGGACAAATGGCCCAGTTCAATTGCAATAACCAAACGAAAGATGTCTACCGTACTGGATGTGTGAATAAATTTGGTTCTTATGTCAAAGACCATGCGATTCAACTCGGCGGAGCTGGTTTGGGTATCGCGTTTGTTCAGGTAAGATTATCTTTTGATTAAACTTATCTACATAGAAAAAAAAATAAATTTTAATTAAGTAACTATTTTTGAAAAACTTTATCTTCTTGATTTGAGGAAAAAAAATCTTAAACTAAGAAATTTTTCTTCTTGATTCAAGAATTTTTCTCTTGATTCAAGTTAATTTTTTTTCTGCATATTATCTATATTATTAAGAGAATAAGCAAAATTTTGTGGCCAGTGTATTTATATGATGAAATCTCTAGATACATAATTAAGAAATGACCTTGTATCTCGTGAACTACTGACATTTTTAAAGATATAAGCTCATCCCGATGTTACACTCATCAAGAGCTTTCATTTGAGTACCCACACGCATTTTGATATATTTTTTATATATTCATATATA